GAAGATAATTTTATTTTGTATATATACATAAAAGTATGTAGAGCCTATATATATATATATATATATATATATATATATTCTCTCTTTTTTTTTATATAACCTCACATATACCCCACATATTTTTGTGTGTATATAAGAGATAAAGTTATCTAAGGTGCTTATGTTTTCTACCTACCTTCTCGGTCCTCCCACTATCTGTGGTCCTTGCAAAACGAATATAGACCTACTAAAAGGTAGTCAAAAATCTTTTCTGAGCAAAAGAAAAACAAATAAAAGGGAAAAAAAAGTTTTTTTTTATTTGCAATTGTGCATTACATGATAGAAGGGGATCTTTAAGCAATGTCATGCCTCAAATTAAAAGAATGTCATTCCGTACTAGCAGCGGCTATGGTTTTGAGTGTCCTTAGAAAAGCTTCTATATATTAGTTTTTATTTAAAAAATTAATAAAAATCACTACAGGCTAATTATGAGCTATAATTTATAAGAAGGTCATGTAGTTATTATAGCCTTATAGGAATAGTTTTTTTTTTTTTTTGATAACATTATAGGAATAGTTTAGTTTATCAAAATAGTGGTAGCTCAGTTGGCGCATGGGAGCTAAGCAGGTGAGGATGAGAGCATGTGTTCGAATCTCTCCAGTACCACTTTTGGGAGGGGTTTAAAATCTTAATCCTGGACCCGCTCCGAATCGGATTAGTTGCGAAATAATGAACCGATTGAAATATTTCTAAAAGAAATAGTTTAGTTTAAAACCAATTACGTAATTGAAAGGGAAAATTGAGGGTAGCATTAAACATGTACGTAGGACCAGCCGAGCCCATTGAGAGGGAAAATTGAAAGAAGTTAGCATTTATTAATTTTGAACAGAATCAAGTTCAAAATTGAAACATATCCTCGGCACCAAACAAAATATTATTTGTTCTAGAATTCAATTTGAAACGTTCAAGTTCAAGCACAAGCACAATCACCAGCGAGTTGAAATGAATGGTTGGTACCTCGGTTTGGCCTACCGATTGATATGTGTCCAACATGAAGTATTTAGTTGAGAGATGGTGGTTTTTTTTTTTTTTTTTTTTTTTTCATTTTCAGAACAAAAGAAGATATATGAGAGAGAAGTCATAGTGAATTAATGTGACTAATTTAAGTGCATTGGTTCTGGTTAGTTAGATGTCACATTTATGTTGAAGATATATTTGGGTACCACAAGTAGGTACCACTCTCACTCCATGCATGTGAGGTGCTGTGGATATTTAGGCTTATTACACTACTAAGTTTGATTAAAACTTGATGCTTTAACAATGAGAACCACTAAAATGTATCTACCGTGCTTCTTTTGTGGTTTGGAAATTATAATAGAGTTTCTACTTTTGCTAGGGAAAGGAGGGGGAGGTTTGGTTTTATTTAGACCAAATTAATGTATCAATTTACATCTCAATTTTATTGCCCAAATTAACCAAACTATGAGGAAGAAATCTACTTGAACTGCTTAAATTAAATTAGAAAAGAGGGTTGGTTGAAACAAACTACTCGATGTTTACTATATAGTTTTTTTTTCTTTTTTCAATTTCTTTATTTGCCCGTTTTTATTACATAAAAGATATACTTCATGCGTAAGTTAAGCCGATGTACATAATAAAATTTGACAAGATCAATCTATTCTTTGATTCATAATTTTCCTCTTTTATGTTTGTCAAATAGGTTTTTGTTTAGAATAGAAAGGAAAGATATGCAATTTGAAAAATTGGCTTCTTCCCTTCCAATTTTGGCGCAGCTCACTTATGACTTTTGAGTCACCGAAAAAAATAAAATAAATTTTTTTAGGGCAAACAGGGTGGGTCACCAGAAAAAATCAAAGTGCTTCGTTGCAGACTATTAATCTGAGTAAGACCTATGAGTTTAAAAAAAATTAAAAAATTATACATTACTTTCTGTTAAACAAAAAATTCATTAATAATGTCAAGCATATGAATTCTATGAAAAACCATAGTGGGCTTAATTATAAACACCAAGGTTTGAGTTCTTGATGTAGTTGTCTAGGGGCCAACTTTTTCTAAAATTATAAACTGGATTTAACTTGGCTTTTGAAGGACCTTCATGAGCCTAAACTGTTAGCTACAGCCCCATACAGATTTGAAAATGGGCCAGTTTGATATGTACCTCTAACCCAAACCTCACTCTTGGACGATATCCACGCCTTTTTCTCGGGAATACCCCTAAAAAAAATAAAACGAGAGAAATATTCTTCAATAGGATATTGCCTAAAATGTTGAAGTGATAAAGTATGCATGAGGCAATACAAAGAGAAGTAATGGGACAAAAATAAAAATGGCAATAAATATTTTTCTTTTAGTTATGAGATTTTAGGCACCAAAGATCAAGGGACTACGTTTGGTTGCGAGTTTTAGAAAGAAATTGGTTAGGAAATGGATCATCTCAAGTGGAAAAAAAACATGATACAGTCGTGTGGAAGATCACAATCATACAAAGATAAATCAACGGTTATGATTTGTTAACTATCTATTTTAATATTTTTTTTCTCTTCTCCTTTATTACCATTGATTCACTTTTGTATGATTATGATTCCCCAAGTCATGTGAATTTTCATATGAGAGGATCCAAATCCAATTGGTTAACAAGAATTATTTCATTTTATCTCAAGTCAAATAAAATGGTCATGTATTTCCGTTAAAATTTTAATAGGAAGAGTTTTATCACTTTTATAATTTTGTCCGAACTCAGAATCGAATTAATCAGTAATCATTGGAGATTGAATGAATGATTTATTACATAAAAAAAAGACTGTGACAGATATTATGCATTTAGAGCTTACGAAAAAAATAAAGCCACATGCAAGAATTTTTAAAATTTATAATAGGCCTGATATTATGTTTTTTATTTAAAAATAGTTTTATTACACAAAATAAGTTAAAATTTATTATTTTGTAATAGTATAAGATATTTTGTTAAATATAATAATTATGATATTTACAAAATCTTAAAAATATTTGATGAATATATCGTCATTCGAACTATATGAAAGTTCTACTTTGAATCACTTTCTTATTTTTAAGAGATTTTCATGAAAATTTAAAGAAGGAAATAAAGTTGTCTAAAAAATCCATCATGCATAAATAGAAAAGTAGGAAATCCTATAAAAGAAATTAATGATTTTGGTATTGAGCCTAGAATTAGAAAAAATAAAGAGTAACAATGACAAAGAATATGTTGCTATAAAACATGTGAATAAAGAGAAATAAGAGCATCATCAAGCACATAAAAAACAACTATCAATGGATGTTTTAACTTAATTAATAATTTCGAGTTTTAATATTAGTTATATATTGAGAAGGGATATTCTTACTACCAAAATTTGCCACTACCAACTTACTACCTATCTAATCACCATCGGATTAACATTTTCTCTCTCTTCAAAAACTTTTTAACATTCTCTCTGTTTGATCCAATGGTAATTAGATAGGTAGCAAGTTGGTAGTGGAAAATTTTGGTGGTGAGAATATCCTCTCTCTTATATATTTGTGTTAAAAATTTTGTAAATTTTTTTTTTACCGTCCTAATATTAATATAGACTCCCAACCCTAATCAAATAACAAATTAAATCATGAGATGTAAATAAACAAAAAAAACTATTCCTAAAAGATTATATATAATATTTTAAAATATTCTAATTTACAATTAAATATCATGCAACATTTTTTTATATATTCTAATAATAACAATTGTGATTTCTTTGTAGGAATATTATTAGTAATTTGACATGCATTCAATTACTTTTTTGAGTTTTCTTGGTATTCCTCAGTCGACGGTCGAAGACTAATCCTTTCAAGGCGTAGAGATCACCAAAGTAGATTTTATTGTTACCGACAAAGCTTTTTTTATATATACGATCAATGATCGAATCTCTGTCAGCATGCTTAAGGGGACCTGCCAATCTACCAATTATGCGGCTTTGTTGGTTTGAATCACTTTTTAATATTGAAGATATATATTTCTTAAAATATATATTTTGTCACTAAATATTTATCAACTATGCATTAGTTTTGACTTTACACATAGCCTCATCAGCAAATGGAAACATTTCATCCTATTCATTGGGACATTCACCACTCTCTTAATCCATCAGGCTGGTCAATTGTCAAAAGCATTAGAAGTATCAGAAGGTTGACAGTCTTCTTTTTCCCGTGGATAAGTGGGTAGCGGAGGAAACGGGTAGAAAGGTATTCCTGCTGCAGTGATCCAATTCTCTTCAATTTTAGCACGAGGTGTTCCATATTGGTGAGCAACAAACCATGGCATTCCATACGAGACAGGCAAACGAGAGTTAAATTTGTCCTTTGGATGCCCAATAACTGCATCAAAGGAACACCCAGAATGGCCCGCATTTTGCAAACCATGATCACCAGAGTTCAGTGAAGCATTTGATGAGCCTAATGAACCCGGAAATCCTGGTGGAACATCCTCAGGAAAGTTCTGCCTTTCATCAACAGAGCTAATAACTGCATCAGTTTGCTTTAGCAACCCAGAGTCAATTTTTGGCTCCTTAGATGGATAAGGCACTGAATGTGAATTTTTCTCTCTTTGATTTTTCCACCATCTAAATTCGTTGCAGAATGGCCCTCCTGGGCATCAGCATCTACCAAAGTTGTCACAAGCATTGACTGCTGGACACAATCCATAGCTTCTCCAGATATTATATCCTGCTCATGCCTATTATTGTGTGTGTGACGTTAGAATTCTGTCACCGTTGTAGTGGAAACTCATGTGAAATTCTACTCTATCATCATCCCTGTCCATATAGCGAATAAATCTTTGATGCTACTGTTGGCATCAAAGATTCAGTACATTCCACCAATAAAAATATTACATGTCAGCTAAAGTTTTCTTTTCTTTGTCAATTTTTTTTTTCTCTTCTATGATGTGTAACGCTCTCATTAGTGAGATGGACCGAATCTTGGTACAACAGTAGTACCAAAAATTTATTCCCATATAGCCATGTTTTCTGACAGGTCTTGGAATCCACCTGTCACGGAAGTCTCGAGCAATTTGATGGACCTACATATGCAAACAAAAACAATCAAAACATTCAAAGATTCAAATATTCACTTAAAAAACTAGATCCATTCAAGGTTAAAAAAATGCTAGAAAGGATAAAATAGACATTGCCAGACCCTGACTGAGGTAATATAAATACTTGAAAAAAGGGCTATAAGAAAAAATCAGAAAGAGTTTTGAGTGGATAGCTTGAGTGATTAGCACTCAGCATGCTATATTGCTATATTTGTATACATCAAAGAATAAATACATCTTATTTCCCATGATCTTATGTTTCCAATGCTTCATTCACTCCTATTGTTTCCAATGCTACGTTAACTATCGTTTGTTAATTTCAACAGTGGAGTACTTTACAACATAAATACAATGGATATGTGTGGGAAGTTGAACCATTAGTGGCATTGGAAATTGTCATAATGTATAATGGAGCACTAACATTAAATGTCAATGGGTACTATACTATCACCTAGGAAGTGGTCTTGTAAATATCACTTGTATTTACTAATTCCTTGTGTATAAATAGCATGCTGCTAGGTGCATTTCACTCAGACCATTAAACAGAAAAACCAGTTCTATAATTCTATATTTCCTTACATACCAGTTCTATAATTCTATATTTCCTTACAATATGAACAAGTTGGTGTAGCACATACCTGTTTGTCATCATGCTCTGTTAGAGACAGCATTGATTCCCTAAAGCTGCAAATAAAACCAATTATTAGTAAAAGAATAGAAGCTTAGACGCAACAGCACAATTTCATCAAAGATATAGTGTAGTAAATTTTTAGTATTAGAGTATATAGCTTTAGCTTCTGTTTTAAGAGTATGAATAATCTAGTTCTGTTACTGATATACCATGCCTATTATACTTTTGGCTGTACTTGTACAGAATCATTTTCTCTTTTCTGTTTCTGGTAAGTTAGTTTGGTAGGTTATGTGACTCAGATCTGAGTCAGTCTTCAGCTCTATAAATAGAGCTTTTGTCTTTTGGTGTATCGGATTATGTAGATTCTTCATACATCAATACAATGAAGTTTTCATCTTCTCTCTCCCTCCTCTCAAACTCTGATATTCAGGGAAGGAATAAATAAAACTTCTGTTAAATCAGCACAAAAACAATGGTAAGCAATTTGAAGATTGACACTTTCTGTAATGAAATCCTGGGTCCCCAAGGCTCAATATTTAAGACCCAAAAACTAATTTAGTCCAAAAAATTTCAAGTTGAATTACCTGGAAAAGCTTCCATCCTAATAGGAAGAAGAAATCTGAGATTGACATTCTTGCCATATATATTTCAAGCACAACTCAATATCATATACTTTTTTCCATTCCGATAACCAAAAAACACCACATGAAGAGATAGGAGTAAAATACAAACAATTAAAAAGAAATTTAAAAAAAAAAAGATTTTTAAGAGTTTCTACATCTTCCAGTTGTCTGCCATATCTTTCAGGTTATTGTAAACTAAATAAGCTTGAAATAGTATGACATAAAATGTAACTCAAGGCCTCAACCTTAAATTCACTATTTTTTGTAGCCTCTGTCAATCATAAAATTCCAATGAAAAAATATGGTGAAGAAAAATTCAGAAATTTTTACCAAATTTAGCATCAATAGACAACAAAACTTTGCACAAGTTAACGAACTGTCATACAATCTCTAAAGCACGGACTCGTGCATTTTTAAAAAATGTGCGTGTCGGACGTTCCGACACGCGGTCAACATTCTAGGACACGTGGTCAACGTTCTGACACGTTTTTCCGACATGCAGTCAATTTTTTCCGACATGTGGTCAACGTTCCGACATACTCGGATACGCTCGGACACGTTTTTTTTTTTTTAGTCTTAATTTTATTTTATTAACTAAAAATAAAAAAAAACCATTTATAAATTAATTTTTTTCTGTTATGAAATTTGACATGAAAAATTAACAAGATACGAAAAATTATTTTTGTTTATATTTATGTTATGAAATTTGAATATTTGATTGGGGGAGAGGATCCACTTACCACCAAAAAAGTTTACAACTCTTACAACCAATTTAATCACCGTTGATTTCCGTCAATCTAACAGTTATAATTTATTGGGAATTAATAAATGTTATTAATTTATAACCGTTAGATTGACGACAATCAACGGTGATTAAATTAGTTGTAAGAGTTGTAAACTTTTTTGGTGGTAAGTGGATCTGTTTCCTTTGATTGGTTATATGACTTATTATTGGTTATTATATCTGTTAAATATAAATTATATTATATATATTAAAAATATTATTTAATATCAAAACGTGTCCCAACGTGTCAAAATATGCCATTTTTTAGAATTAACGTGTCGACGTGTCGTGTCGTGTCCCGTGTCAGTGTCTGTACATCATAGCATACAATCATTCACTGAAATTTGGGAGAACGGGGCAAAACTTGATATTTTCTAACCTCTCCATTCCATGACAAGGAGGACCGCCATTAATATGTTCCAATGTCAATATCTTGCTTGCTGCTAAGTAATATAGGACCTGAAAAAGAAGGTTGGTCAAAAATGTTCCCAATATTTTCTAAACACTCACTTCATTTGAAGAGAACAAAGAAAGGAGGAGAAGGAAGAAAAGATTACAATTCAGAAAGTTACCAGCTATAAACTTATTGAATATTCACATTTATGCAATTAACCAATAATTACCATATCGAACAATATATTCTAACATTTCAAATTAAATGATTAGTTAAATAGGGAAACATCTAAAAGGGGGAAAAATACATTGTCATTGTACCATAATAAGTTAAGAACAGACAAACATCAAGGTGTGGGAAATGAGAATAAATCTTTGGTACTAATGCTGTACCAAAGATTCAGTACATCCCACCAATGAAAATATTACATGTCATTTAATTTTTTTTTCTCTCCTCTGACGTGTACTGCTTTTATTGATGAGATGCACTGAATCTAAGTAGTACCAAAGATTTATTCGGGAAATGGATAAAAGTTACAAACACAATCTAAAAGTTTGTGCCAGACAGGACTAACAGAACCACGTCCAATCATATCAATGCAGTGAATTCCACACAAACTTAATGGTTTCTGTCCTTCCACAGGAACCATAGCATTTCATGATAAATATTTCTTCTAACTGCCATCAAACCGTCCACATTTTAGTATCATCGGGAAAGTATACACACTCATTTACATGTCAAAATAATATCATGGTCAAGGGCCTATAAAATTATATGATATGCTTTCCCCCTATAAATTATAGGATAAAATTATACGATAAAAAATTTCAAACCACAGGCTCCATAATTTCAGTTCAAAGCATTCATTAAACTTGCAGACAAAATATTACTCAATTTGATAGTTTAGATTAAAAGAAAAAAATTTCAATGACATGCAGTAATCGAAAATTATGGAAGAAAAATATACGTAACTTCTTAGGTAAGATATGTTGGGTATGGAAATGTTGGGTATGACTCATACTTCACATGATGATGTTGGCCCTAATTGTCGGGGTCAGCAGAAAGGCAACTGGGGTCCCGCTCCCAGGTGAGCGGGCGGAGGTCCGGGGGGCAGCGCTCCCAGGCCCGTAGAGGCTAGGATTGAAGCTTTTCCCTCATTCACCGGCCGGCAAAGCCAAAGAGTGGTTGAACTCCCTTCCGTCCAACTCCATAACCAATTGGCACACATTGGCTGAAAAATTCATTATGAAAATTTTCCCATCCAACAAGATAGTGCAAACCAGATGTGATATCACCAACTTCATGCAGAAGGATGGTGAGACCTTAGTGGATGTGTCGGAGAAGTTTAAGATCCTTCTTAAGCAATATCCCAACCATGGCTTGCCCTCTTGGGCAGTGTTACAAACCCTTTACAACAGCCTTAACACTCAAAACAGAGCCTTAGCAAATTCTGCTGCTAATGGCATGTTTATGTCCATGTCCTTTAATTAAGCTCACGAGTTGTTGGAACAAATGACTCAAAATTATGCCCAATGGCTTGATGTATGAGGTAGATTCTATAACAGCCCTTTCAGCCAAGTTTGATGCACTACCCACTTTAGTGAGAACCCAAGGACAAGCAATTGAGGCAAGATTGTCTCAGCCTCAAGTTCCAATACCTCCACCTCAAGTTCCAGTACACCAACCTCAAGTCAATGCTGTGAACACAGGTGAAACTTGTGTTTTCTGTGGTGGGCCCCATTTGTTTGGTAGCTGCCCATCCAACCCAGAGTCTGTCTATTATGTGGGGAACCCAAAAAGGAATCAAAATAATTTTTCCAATAATTTTAACCAAGGTTGGAGGCAGAATCAACAGCCCCAATATTTCCAAGGGCAAGGGTAACAAGCTGGACCCTCTAATGCTCAAACCCGACCACATTTTCCTCCTCAAAATTTCCAACAACCTCCAAGGCAGCAACCCGCTGCTCAGTCTTCAACCCCATTTACTCAAAACCAAGCTGGTGAGATGTCTACCTCTTCCTTAGAGGCTTTGTTGAGGGAATATTTGGTTAAGAATGAAACTAAGCAAAACAGCTTGGAAGCTGTTGTGCAAAGTATTCCTGCATCTTTGAGGAATTTAGAATCCCAACTAGGCCATTTAGAAAATACTTTGAATAGTAGACCCCCTAGTACTTTGCCTAGTAACACTGAAAAGCCTAGGAGGAATAATGAGCAATGTCACATGATAGAGCTTAGGAATGACAGATCTGTGAATCAGCCAGAAGCTGTGGTTAGACCTTCCACATTAAAAAAAAAAGAGAAGAGGAAAAAGTGCAGAAAGAAAAAGAATTAAATTCTGAACCTGTTCAGCCACCTGTTATCCATAACATACCCCAAGGGGCTTAGAATAGTGATCCCTTGCCTGTTCTGGTTGAACCAGAAATTCTGACCCACACAAACCTAGCTTTAGGGAATATTTCCATGGAAAAATCCATTTCAAAGGGTCAAGCATCTAAGCCAAGTATTGAGAAACCTGCTGCCTCAACCAGACTTCCCCCACATTTTCCCCAAAGGTTGCAAAAACAGAGGCAAGACAATCAATTTAGGAAATTTCTAGATCTCCTAAAACAGTTGCATGTCAACATTCCATTCGTGGATACATTAGAACAAATGTCCACTTATGTGAAATTCATGAAAGAAATTCTTTCAAGAAAAAGGAGGCTAGAAAGGTTTGAGACTGTTGCTCTTACACAAGAGAGCAGTCAATATTTGCTTAATAAAGATACCTCTCAAATTAGGAGATCCAGGAATTTTTACCATCCCTTGCACCATAGGAGACCATTACATAGGTAGAGTATTGTGTCATTTAGGTGCTAGTATCAATTTAATGCCTATGAGTGTGTTCAAGAAGCTGAAAGTGAGAGAGCCTAATCCTACCACTGTAACTTTATAGTTGGCTGATAGGTCCTAGGTTTATCCTGAAGGGAAAGTAGAAAATGTCTTGGTGAAGGTAGATAAATTTATTCTACCTGCTGATTTTATTATTTTGGACTATGAGGAAGACCAAGAGGTACCTATAATTTTAGGAAGGGCTTTCTTAGCGACTAGTGGGACTGAGATAGATGTTAAAGAAGGTGAATTGGCCATGAATGTAAATGGTGAGCAAGTGAAATTCAATATTATGAAAGCCATGAAATACCCAAGGGACATAGAGGAATGTTCTAGGCTGGATATCATTGACTGTGTAGTCAAAGATAAATTTTTGCATGAGTCTGCATTAGACTCTTTAAAAATTTCTGGTTTTGAGGGTATAGAAATCAGTCAAACTGATTCAGAGGAAGTTGTTAAATGGTTAAATTCCAGATCTAATGTGGTTTGAAAAAATAAAAATTGGCCAAAAGAGGGTTAAAAATTCTCAAACCCTCAATTGAAGAGCCTCTTGTGTTAGAGCTCAAGCCTCTGCCTAATCACCTTAGGTATGCTTATTTAGGAGACAAAGACACTTTGCCTGTCATAGTGTCCAATCTGCTCACTGTTTTAGAGGAACAACAGCTGCTGGCTGTTCTAAAAAAATTTAAGAGGGCTATAGGTTGGTATTTGGCATATATAAAATGTATTAACCCCTCTTACTGCATGCATAAAATCCTTTTTACTGACCCAACCAGCAGCTCTAGAGAGCAGCAAATGAGACTTAACCCAATTATGAAGGAGGTAGTAAAAAAGAAAATTATTAAGTGGCTGGATGCTGGGATCATATATCCCGTTTCTGACAGTAACTGGGTCAGCCTAGTGCAGTGTGTCCCTAAAAATGGTGGGATCACTGTTGTGGAAAATGAGAGGAAAGAATTAATACCCACTAGGACTGTCACTGGTTGGAGGATCTGTATGGATTACAGAAAACTCAACAAAGCCACTAGGAAGGACCATTTTCCCTTACCTTTTATTGACCAGATGTTGGATAGATTGGCTGGTAGGGAGTTTTACTGTTTTATAGATGGCTATTCAGGTTATAATCAAATAACCTTAGCCCCTGAGGACCAACTAAAGACCACCTCTACTTGTCCCTATGGCATCTTTGCCTTTAGGAGAATGCCCTTTGGGCTGTGCAATGCACCAGCCACCTTTCAAAGGTGCATGATGGCCATTTTTACTGATATGATAAAGCAATTTGTGGAAGTCTTCATGGATGACTTCAGTGTTTTTTGGGACTCTTATAAATAGTGCTTAGAAAATTTGGGAAGAGTACTTGAGAGATGTGAGGAGACAAATCTGGTCGAAAATTGGGAGAAGTGTCACTTTATGGTGAGGGAAGGCATTATGTTAGGACATAGGATCTCTAAAGCTGGTTTAGAGGTTGATAAGGCCAAGATAGATCAGATTGAGAAACTGCCACTACCTGTAAACATAAAAGGAATTAGATCCTTCCTTGGACATGCTGGTTTTTATAGGAGGTTCATAAAAGATTTTTCAAAAATTTCTAAGCCTCTTAGTCATTTGCTTGAAATTAACACCTCTTTCCATTTTGATGAGGCTTGTGTTAAAGCCTTTGAGGAGCTAAACAAAAATTAATTTATGCTCCCATTATAATAGCCCCTGACTGGTCACTGCCATTTGAGTTAATGTGTGATGCAAGTGATTGGGCAGTGGGGGCTGTGTTAGGACAAAGAAAGAATAGAGTTTTTCACTCTAATTACTATGCTAGCAGAACCTTAAATGGAGCCCAATTAAATTACACAGTAACTGAAAATGAACTGTTGCTGTGGTGTTTGCCTTTGACAAATTCAGATCATATTTGGTAGGGACCAAGGTCATTGTGTATACTGACCATTCAGCCATTAAATATTTGGTGGAAAAGAAAGATTCAAAGCCTAGGTTAATTAGATGGGTCATTCTCCTTCAAGAGTTTGATATGGAGATTAAAGATAGGAAAGGAACCGAAAATCAAGTGGCTGATCACTTGTCTAGGCTGAATGAAGGGCAACAAGGTGAAAAGGTGGTTGAGCAAGCCATTAGAGAATGCCTAAGGAGTTAAGTTATCAACTATTTTTGGTTGCCA